TTAAAATTAAGCCCGCACCTTTCGCATATAAAATTTTATTTTTTGGGACATTTTTCCTTAAACCAATGGCTAACTTTGTCAGTTAAAAGACCATGACAACTTACTCATAATATTCCCCGAATAAGATTAAGGTCTTCCGATATCAAAATTATCAATATTAATGCCCTTTGTCCGAAAATTTTCTAGTACTTTTTACCCATTCCTCAGATTATAACCAAATCGTCAGATATGGCAGTACCCCTTACCAAACCAACCAGTTCTGCTTTTGACCGGACATTTGCTCCTCTCCCTTCTGCCCACCGCAAATACCTCCGACAGGAAGCACTTGGAAACTACCTAAACGACTTGCCCTTAATGTTACAGAGCATAGTTACCTTACCTTACATTAAATCAATAAAGAAATAGAGAATACTACTAAGAACACTTTACACACAATTTTTTTTTCTTTTTTGGTCTTTTCATTTCAAAGAAAATGCATCCGGAGCTTCCTCCATGCTTTGAAGTCAGGCCCTCATAATAATTCATAAAATGCAGAGTTTTCGTGTGTCCAATGACCCCTACTACTAATATGCACAAAACTAGAACCATGTCTACATACAATGCAGGACACCACCAGACACCAGAGACTATCTATACACCCAAATGCTGGGACTAGACTATAAAAGAATCATATGTTGATTCTAACATGTATTTTTACACCATTTTATTCCTATATGGTTGCTAGAAACCCATTCCAGCATCCATCAATCCATGACTGCCAGCCACCCAACCCGAGAGACTGCAGTATATGTGGTTTAGAATTTAGATACACCAGGGTAAAGGAAGAGCTTTCTGCATCCTCCATATTGCTTCTCCACCATCTGGAGCGACTCAGACAATATGACTTCTCTGGTGAGCATGACTACGTATGACCTGCACAAGATAGAAAGTGGTAAGGCCATCACCCCAAAAAAAAGAACATTTATAATTTAAGACACAGCCCTAACAGATTAACTGTAGAGGGAAATTTTTAAAATTAGCAGCAGCATTATTGACTTTCCCGGTTGTGTTTAATGTTGCCTACAGCACATGTTAAGAGGAAAAATATTTTAAGTGATTGCCGATACATTGCATGCGGTCTTTCAGTCTCAAACAGCCCGTCACTTTTACACAAAGAGAAGTAGACAATATGTACATATGCAGTCAATGTCAACCTTGTTGCCTTAGCACATATAAACAACTCTCTAGTCTCTTCAGTTAAACCACCATTATAATACTTCTATTTGTAACAAGCATAATTGAGACATTTTGATAGGAAAACATGCCATCAGATCTGGACTAATCCGGTGATGATCTTAGCATTAAACTCAGACAGAATCCATGTAAAAGATATCAGACGGAAAACCAAAGAAATACCTCTAAACTCTAATGGAAAATAACAAAAACATAACCCCATCAAAATGATATTCAGGTCAAATCACAGCAAATATGCACTGAATGATAAGCCCACCCCAGCAATGATTCCTACACCGGGTAACAACATTTCATGTTTTTTTCCTCTCCATTATCATTTTTTTTGTTATTTAACAGCACTGCAGGAAAGAACATTAATTGTATCTCTAATGCAGGAAAGAAAAAATAAATGCTACCTCTAGAATGCAAAATAAATAGTTTGCAAGGCTAGATCCGAAGCCCGCCACTCAAGTAGCAGTTCCGCTGCTCTTAGTCCTGCTGCAATCTAAGGATACCTGAAATAATGAAAAACTCCAGCCACAGTTAATACCATAGCAAGATGACCATGACAACCTACAAACTTTATTCCCCAAGACATCACCACTTACCTTGATCAACTCCTCACCCAGTTGTTTGGTCAGAACCGCTACCCTGCATAAACTGAGAAGGAGTAGTAACTATAAACTGTGGCTGTGCTGGAACTGGTGTTGCTATACCTGATAAACAAATATACTTGGCTCATAAGGTCTTCTATGCATTAAATTAATTACATAAAACTATTTTAAAACAATAGGGCATGCAGGTGCCTTCTGTAGTTGATTAGGAAATATAAGGACTGAAAAATTCATTCATGACGGTGCATCCCTTTCTCTAAGCTCAACAAAGAGATACATTCTCTATGTACTTTCTGATTCACATAAGTTCACTAATGACAACTTCTCATGATGCAGAGCAGAAAGAAAACTTTAAACTAGAATAAATATAAAGATGAAGATGTACAGGTCAAGTTATTGGAGAGGGTAAATTGTTGGCAGAGAGAACTAGAGGGAAAAAAAACAACAGATAACATAAGCAAGCGTGATAAAGCACTTTTCCAGACTGATATTAACCTCCAGGATAAGGAGTTTGGATTGTGGGCATTGGAGAAGTCGTGATTGCATTAGCACTGGGTCCACCAAACTGCACTATTTGATGACTTGGCATTGCATATCCCTGCACAGCTGAATAACCATGTCCGCTAGGAACAGTCTGACCCAGTTGTCCATAGGGATAGAGAGCAGTGCCTACTGATCCAGGTACTCCATATATCTGAAGGTACTGCTGAGCTGCATAAGGGTTGTAAACACCCTGTCCATAGATGATAGCATGCAAAAAAGGAACAAATCAGCATCAGAACATGAGCATTACTTACTCTAATGAAGTTAAATAAGATTTTCATAACATTGCACTTTGGAATGCCATTAACCTGTGGATATAGATATTCATGTCCATATGTCGCATACCTGCACAGATTAAACAAATATCAAAAATTTCAACAAGGTTGGCACTAAACTAGGAATTCGGCATTAAATTTAGAGTGTGAATATATATTCAGGAGATAAACACATACTATACATCACATAGAACAACCACGTTTTCCAAGTGAAATACCAGCATACTTCTATGCTATCAATAAGCCATACCAAGTATAGCCCAATACATTCACCAGTAAAACCATAAGCCTAACTACTCAGCCCATAGGAATAATTAAATTCCCTTCTCCCAACGTTTCTTTTTCCTTTTGATCCTTATCAAATCACAATTACAACCTTGCCTGTTCAATAAACATTGAGCTCGGGGCACATATCCTCCGCAACTACCACTTTTTGCATTCCTGCAATTACCAATCACACCATGTCATATGACTGTACTTTGGACTAATTAATCCTGAATTCTAAGGTAA